AAATTCTATGTCCAAGAAACAAGCTAAGTCTCTTAAATCTATGAAGGTGGAGGCTTTATAATTATTAGGTCCTAAATGCACACCTATTATAAAATAAGGAGAGGGTCATGAAGAGAAGATAGGACTTTTATTAGAAATTTTACAAGATTCTAACCGCACAATCCCTATTGTAGTTGGACAAATTTTTTTTTGATATATTGTCTTCTTTGACAATTGTGCTCCTCATTTTGTAGTTTTGTCGCTTCTTTGGACAATATTGAGCAGTATGTTATTGGCTAATAAATATAACATCATTTCCCTCGATATCAGTTATAGGTTGTCAAAAATGTAAAGCATATAATATTACAAAACAATTGCCTTATCACAAAATATGGATTTTATTGATTGCAACATAAGTTGTATCATGTTCTCTATACATGGTCCAAAATTCTATCAAAAATACCTCCAAATTATCCAATATTAGATCTTGTCATTTAAAAAAAGATAAAAACCATGATAGTGTTGAATCTAAAAGAAGTGTATTAAAGAATTTAACTTGTGATCATTGAGTTGGATAGCTTTGAGGTTGAAGTTCAATTACAAGTTGTACTTGATTGATAAATCCTTGAAATTTGGATCTTGTACCATCAAACTTCTCGGGTAGGACAACTCTTGGTTCTCTAACACTTGAAGGATGTTCTATTGTGGATAAAGGGACATGATTTGGTGAAGATGTTGAAGCAGCTCTAATCATCTTTATATCTTCACTTTTTGCCATTCTTCTTGATTGTTATGGTGATAAGCTAAGTTGATGCATCGCAAGCATCAACTTTGTTAATTGATCTTGTATTTGTGTCATTGCAGTCTTCATTTCAACAAGCTCTACCATAATAACACTTAAAAAAATATTTAATATTACTCAAGATAAATAGAAAAAAAGGACTTGAGGACAAAGAAAATACTAAGAATAATATCAATTTAAAAGAGGGTAATCCGTAACTTCTAATATGCTTATGTGTTATCATGAGAAGGAATAATCCACTGTTAATGAAGACAAGATAAAACTTTAATATTGTAAGTGTACTCTTGTCAATTTCTTAATAACATGAAGTAAAAAATTATATATAAACCAATGAAATCTGTGTCAAAGAAAAAGTGAAAAAAATAAAATAAGGAAGTACATATATTAAAAAGAAACTAGAATGGCTTATTGTCAAAAGACAAGAAAACTTGAGACTCTTAAAACTAGACTAGAAGCAAGAAAGGAATTGATAAGAATAAAGAAGGCTTCACTCTTGTCTCTATATATACTATCGAACTAAAGGCTACATGGCAATGTTCTATAGGACCTCCAATATGTATTGACTTTGTAGGATACATGCCTTGACTTATAAGGCAAGTTTTTCTACATGTGGGCCACATAGTTAGCTTGGTCTTCAAACTAACAACATGTGTCACACATGGCCAACTTGTTGACCGTGTTTCTAACCCAAAAAGTCAATTATAGATACCTATAAAGTCAAAGCAGAGTCTATAAGAAGCTAGTATAGAAGATATTATTGAATTAACTTACTTTTATCTACTTTTATTTATTTATACAGGTAATTATTGGCTTACATGTGTATATCCATGACACTCACTAAGTAGTCTTTATAGGTCTCTTATATTGTATTAAACATTGACAATCCTTGCATCTAATAAATTTGTAATAAATATTATAAGGTGGTATAATGTAAATGATCATATTTTTTGTGCCATAGTTTTGTATCTATAGTACTTGAGTTTGCTTCAAAGGCTTCAAAATCTATTATTTTTTTGTAGAATTGATAAAGTTTATTTTTTTAATTCCTTATTTTTACAGCTATCACTTTTTCATTGTATTTTTTATCTAATATTAAGCATTATTTGTATGTGTATACAACTACTATGCCATTATTTATTAATAATCCTATTATTATCAAATTTTGAGTTAATATTGATATATACAAAATATTATAAAATTTTATTGCTTTAAATCTTGAAGTTATATTATTGGATCCAACATCTTCAATCTTGTGGAATTTACCATCTATAGTTTTTAATATTATATATGAAGTATAATTAAATATTTATGTATTGTCTTGTTCTAAGTAGTTGAATCATGAATGATTTCACTCTTGTTCCAAATTAACTCAATAGTTCTCTTAATGTAGTTTGAGATTGATTTTTGATATGAGGTTTTGATCCTCCAAATGTTTTAATATTTCTTAAGCAAAGCCTCTTCTCCTTCAATCACCTCTTTGCATAAAGTAATTTTGTCCACAATTTCTAAGATAAGTGTGTTGAAGTTGCACTACCAATGCTTCTTTTGATCCCAACTAATGTTCTTTTATTGCTATATAAAGATTTTTAGTTAGAAGTTATCAATAATATCTTTAAATATGGATTGTGTCATGTGAGTGATATCCTAAATCACCATCTCATAACTTTGTAACAATCCATTGAGTACAATATTTATAAGTGTCTTATCTATGATGGTTTTGCCAAAAGCATTCAAATGGTTCTTTATATCCATTACTTCCATAAAATAAGTACTAATGTCACCTCTTTCTTTCATTGTTATTTTGTTTAAATTGTTTGTTAACAACATAATTTGTTATTGAACTCTTGTATTAAATATTTTCCTAATCATGTTCGGTGAATCCATAGGATTATTAGAACATTTCTCCAATCAAGATATTTGCAACGGATATGGAGTAATTTTATGTTTTTTTGCTAGATTTCTGAACTTTTGAGAAAAGGCAGATTATTGAAAAGGCAGAGAAGCGTAGTTAACTATGTCCTTAAACATGAAGTTGGGAGTTTTAGAAGTCAGTGCAAACGGGTCATGAGCAAGCAAAATTTCTGAAGACTCTAGCAGACATAGAACCCTATTTCTCCACCTGCTTTGATGAGACTCTTGATCACACTGAGATATAAAAAAGTTAAAGCTTCTCATGCATGAAATGTGTGTGTGTGTGTTTGTTTGAGTGTGTATTTAAATCCAGGGACAGCTGTGCACACTGTATGCAGACCAGATGTGTATGGCAGGACTAGAGTCAAAATCTGAGAGAATAAAAAAAAAAAAAAAACTAATTTTCTCAAAGCAACTGCACCTAAGTTCGCAACTTTCAACCCACACGAACACAGCGAGAGAAATGTTTGCAACCCCCTGGCCGCAGCTCAGCAGTGAAGATTTTGCCTTAATCTTGTTACGACGCTAGATCGTTAAACCATATCTTTCTGTAACTTTCTTATTGTTATCGTTAATTGTTGTGACCCAAGCTCAATTAATTATGCTAAATCAATTGCAAGGCACCCGGAGCTCGAAGAGAGCATTGTTCTCCTTCCACATCGTCCAGCTCATGCGTCTTGTTCATCACATGCCTCTATAGTCTTCAATTGTGTTCTCAATGAGGCAGACAGATGCTGTGTATCATGAGGGCAATACTTGAGTTCTCTGTATTCCGAATGTGCTCAGGAAAATTATGCAGTTCATCCCTTTCAGTTGATGCAACGCAATTGTGTTCCAAAAACAGGGTTGTTGTTGATATTGCACGGAGCATATAAGTAACCGGAGATAATTTGCCTGCGATGTTTGCCTACATGGTTACTGTCCCTGTTTACTACAAAGAGAAAGGAAAATCTGAGGTCATACATTAGCGTCATCTCTGGTTTGGTTTTCACTTGATGGAAAACGATTTTATGTCTGTTCGTGTCGAATGTTAGCAATCTTAAATGATTTGACAGTGTTGATCAATTGCCAAACTCGAAGTGCAAATCAGTTTTGAAGAATCCGTAAGTTATCCATTCCTTCAGACTGAATAACCATTTGTACTTGTCTCCTCTTCCTTCTTCTGGTTCTTCGTCTTTGTGTATTTTTGCTAATTTTTATTTTCATTATTTTGGGTACAATTGTCTCAAAGGCGCTGCCGCGTGTGGCGACGTACATGTCTCCCTTTGAGTGATGTGGGGTATGTGTGGGACACGACAAGGGTCCCAGAGTTTCACAAATAAGTCGGAATGAAATAATCCAACCCACTTTTTACAATCAAATGTGGTGATGAAGGATGGGCAGGTCTAGGAGCTTTCTTTTTCCACAATCTCGGCCCACAATAATGCGTAATCAGCTTGTGATTGAACCTGCTCTTCATAGATATCGTCATCAGTCATGACACCTCCTCCTTCTCATTCAGTTTCCATGGTTTTGATATATCCAAAGAAACTATCTCAATTCCCACCCACAAACACTCTCTCACAACAAATGGGTGGATCAATGCAGTGCACTGCCTACACTCTCTCTACAAATATATCAACCCTAACACGGCAATGGTCTTTGCATTAGCCTCAAGAGTTGGTGGGAAGCTGGGCGTCGTATGTACGTGGGTACAGTCTAAGCTTCTCGGCTGTTCGTGCCAGTTTCTATGAGCCACGCCCTTTTCCCATCTCACGTCACAGTCTCGACCCCCATCACCCACGACACAATTTGCTCTCACCTTTGACCTTTTCCATATTCTTGACACTAACACTTGCCACACAATTATTTGCAACTAACTGCGTGTAGAACAAAAGAACTCATTGGCGGCAGCAGCAACAGCATCCTAGGTTCCATGAAAAAGGTGAGTATCGTAGGAAATGGATGTTTAGGGTAGAAGGTGAAAAAATAAAAATAAATAAAAAGGGTGAAAGCTGGGTAGGTCGGCATGTCGAAATCCTCGTCACAGTTTATTCAAATCTATAAATAAAAATAAAAAAATAAAAGTGATAACTTGAGAACAGGGTTTCTGGATGTTGTATAAAAATTATTTATTTATTTATTTAAAAAATAAAAACTGAATGGATTTCTTGTCTCTTTGCGACTTCTTTTGATTTGAGCTGAAATTGTTGTTGTTTTTGTAAGAGAAGGTCACAAGGGTTGGATTGCTTGACATCACTGTATTGTACTGATGCCACAGGCATTCTTCTATTTCCATATCCATGCTTCTTTTTCTCATCATTTGGTGTCATAAATTCATGTGACCATGGCCAAGTTTCTTAATGTCTCTTCCTCTGTCTGCAGCCACCACTGTCACGTACACTGCAACTGCATCATTGCAGAATGAACACTTCATAGAAACAGCATCACATGTATGCCATTCTTACTGATTTGGGTGAAGTATTGGTGTAGAAGAATAGACACATTGCTCAGATCGCTATGGACAAAATAAAAGCCAGTTAAATGTACTGTAAGAACTTGGTCATAAAACAAGGGAATTAACTCAGTAAACCTACAATGTCAGATAACCAGATTTTATAGACGTATTTCTGTTTCCTTCTTTTCGTAGTCTTCGTTTCTAATTCGTTTATGTTATATATATATATATATATATATATATAGATGTACATTACTTTAATTTGGGTTGTATTCTACAAAAACGTAGATGATCTGTGCATGATGATGACCAGCTAGATATGTTGGCAATTGAAGTTGGATTTTGGTAATAGCAGTTGTCATTAGTTGATTTTCTTTTCTAACAAATAAGTAAACCTTTTCAGTATTATATTTAATGTTTAATAAGAAGTACTCTGCAAGTAGGTTGGAAATAAAAATGCAAGACCAATCTACAACAAAAATAGTATAATCTGCGTTCATTACCCTAAAACAGGGTGTCTGGCGGTGGAATGTGCAAGGCTGTGTTAAAATATAAATATAAATAAATAAATAAAACCCCACCCACCCCCACCCCTCATCTACCACGTGCCGCAATACATGATTTGCACGTGGAAGATGAGACGTTGTACACGTGGCGGATGAGAGCAGGGATTGGGAATGGAACCGAGCTGGCAGGGTTGGGGTGTTTCGGGGTTAGGGTGTGTCACTGTTCACACAGGGGGAGGTTTCCACCGACCCCATATGATTTGGTTGTGGCCAGGTCCAATGAAGTGGGCTGAATATGGAAAACCACGTGACCCAAATGAGGAAAAAAAAAACCAAAAAAAACCAGAAAAAAAAACCAAAACAAAACAAAAGCGCGTGAAAAGATGGTGTCCGGGTTGTCCACGTCATCGAACGGTCCACTCTCCTTCCCGCCAAAACAGTTGCCCAATGGGCTTTGGCTTTGAATTGGTCCGTCCTTCTTCACATGAATAGGCTAGAATTTAATTTTAGTTTTAAGAAATATGTGGTATTTTTGAGAGATACATCACATGTGAAAAAATTACTTTGTTTAAAAAAACATTTATGTAAAAATTATTTTTACATATATACATATATAGAGAGAGAGATTGTATGCTTACATTGTATTATTACCAATTTTTTAATGTAGTTTGCAACAAAAATAGAAAGACGAGTGTTCAAATAAAAATATTTACAACAATTTTAAAAGATAGACCAACATTGATAAGAATCAATACAACCCAAAATGATTACTCACAAAACTTCTTAAAGTAATTATTATTGAAGTTGTTATTTTGTGAGTGCATATTCACTTGCATTTCAAAAGAATTGAAAAAGAAAACAAATAGTAATAATATTTGTTGATAATGTTTTAGAAAAAGAGAGATAAGAGTAGCTAGAAGTAATATGCACACTAAAACATATGTAAACACACACACACAAGAAGTGAGTTTATTGATAGGATTATATCTCTTATACAAAGGAGAGGAGAGAAGATAAATAGTTTCTCCCTACTACATTCCAAACATTGCAATTATAGTAAATATTGTAGACTATAGTAAATAGCATGGAAAGCGCCAGCTTCATTTGATGCTCTCAACAACACTAATAGCAATAGCAATTTTTGAAAAGACAATATTACAATATGATACATACTTGTCACGAAACTACCATGAAATAAGGAGGTGAGGCATAACATCTTTTTTAGATTCTATTGTGGGGATTGTCTCTCCCAAATAGATGTTTATGAGATAAAATATTTAAATAATTGTTGGTTCCTTTTTATTGTAATTTCTTCATTTAAATTTGAAATTATAAGCCCTAATTGTTAATTAGATATGCAACATGTACAATAAGAAATTAATAGATAAATAATATACTTATTTTTTTATCAACCTACGACAACAACATGTTATCCATAGTCAAAGTAGAATAGACATCTTGGACAGCATGTATTTAAGGGATATTCCATATAAAAAAATTACATGGGAATCTATTAAAAAAATACAAAAGGACATTCTAATTCTAAATCCTAAACCAAATGATGTCCCTAACCTAGTTCTTCTAAGTACACAAGAAGACTAAAAAAATATCAGACATAAAAATTGTTTATTTTTACATATGTGGCATAAATTCATAATTAGCATGGATGTTTTGTATAACAATTAAAGTGAAAAATGATAGGCTTATAATTTTAAATACTTTTAGTTAAAAAGACACACAAATTTTTATTTACAATAATTTTTTTGAAAACAATATTAAGATCACAATTTTTTTTAATATATAGTTCCAATAACCAAAAACTTAAACATGGGTTTTATATCTTTTACATTTTCATTTATTTACACACATCATATTTGAAATGGAAAAGGGTACAATGTGGATATTCAAATAAGGCAAGGCAGCATTATTAATTATAAACAGTATGGATTCTTCATAAAAAATTTGTGAATAAATATTTTAATAATATAAAAATAATATAAAATTAAATTTATTTTAATAAACAAAAAAATCTTCCATAAAATCCAATATTTATTTCTACATTCTTTTTATTATGTGGTAGATTCAAAAATAAAACATATGTTTGACTACAATTTACACAATGTAAAATACATTGTATTAACATGCTTATTTATTATTAAATACTAAAAACTTTATAAATTAAAATTAAATATTTAAGTTTAATTAATTTATATATATATATATATATATATATATATATATATACATGTGAGCACATGAGTATACTAAGTCTATTTAAATTAATTATCCATTTTGAAAGTATTAAAATTTATACTACTTTTTTATATACTTGACTTATTAAAATTTTGATAAGATAATAAAAATAAATACTACATAATAAATATTTAATAAAATTCTGTATAAATAAAAAAAATATCTAAGAAATTAAAATATTAAAATATTAAAATTTTATAAATAAAATTATTTTAAATATAAAAAAGAAAAAAAAAAAGATATATATACATCAATAAATATATAAATATATCTTATACATATTAAAGTGATATTTTTTTCTATATTTTCTATATTTTATTATTTAATTTATTTTATTTTAATCCAAAGTGATAATATTTATCTTAAATGTTAAAATTTTATTTTATTTAAGCTAGCGGTTGGCGCTTGCTTTGCAACACATTAGTCCAACCATTTTAATGTAGTTCTTATATTACAAAATAGTTTAAAAGGAAGGTAACAACAATCTACATATATAAATATGTCTTCATGACATAAGCATGAATTTTAAGAATGTAATATAATAGAATAGAGTAATAAATTTTAGAAATAAAATGCATCCAAAGATGCATGCATTGGAAAATATCCATTCATTGAATAGTGAAATTCAAGATGTAACCTTCTTCAATTGAATGGTAAGTTGTCTCAATTGAGAAAACATAATTGAACACCAAAAGAATGCAATTGGATGGAAGGGGACATCGCCAAAGCGTGCATGAACCCTAAACATTGTCAAGGACAAAGACTCGATGAGGGAAAATATACACCAAAAGGCTATCTCGATATAATAAGTCAAAATATAAACAAGTAGGTATATTAAAAGGAAACTGGAATGGCTATTGCCACAAGACAAGAAACTAAAGACTCTTGAACCTGGACTAGAAGCAAGAAAGGAGTTGACAAGAGTGAAGAAGCCTTCACTCTTGTCTCTATATATACTATCTAACTAGGGGCTACGTGGCGACGTTCTATAGCACCTCCAATATGTGTTGACTTTGTAGGACACATGCCTTGACTTACAAGGCAAGTTTTTCTACGTGTGGGCCACATAGTTAGCTTGATCTTCAAGCTAACAACATGTGTGGCACATGGCCAACTTGTTGACCACGTTTCTAATCCAAAAAGTCAATTAAAGACACCTATGAAGTCAAAGCAGCGTCTAAGAAGTTTCTAGGAAGCTTCTATATTAAATATTATAGAATTAACTTACTTTTATCTACTTTTACTTACTTCTACCTATTTCTATATGTAATTATTAGCTTACATGATTATGGCCGTGACATTACCCCCCCTTCTAGAGACGAGTTCCACGAGGAGCGATCATCATATGTTGAGGAAATCTATGATGCGACGAATTGTATTCGCCACATACTCTGATCTCTGTTCTCTTCGAAGATGATTGATAGGGCCTCTTAACCATCGGTAGTGTCCCATACCAGGGCGGGAAGACCACCCAGTTATTTGATCATTATTGAGGCCTTCATAACTTCTTTCGAATAGAATATTCGGAACACCATCAGGAGTTGTTCCTACCTCTAGCAAAATCACCAAACATCGGGAGTCCCTTCCCAAATCGTGATACCAAACGCGTTGTATCTCACCATCTGTTCGAGGAAGAACATGTCGTTCTTGAAGATCTTCATCTCGATTGCGTCGTCTTGAAGGTTGTGACAATCGTAATGTCTCATCCGGCAGGTCAGCAAACGAAGGTTCTTGAGTTGAATCCGCTGGTTGTTGGCTCTCCATCTTATCACCCACGTTGATTTGTGGTTGCTCCTTACGATATAGATCTGCGTTTATCTTTTGTCATTCTTGAGCTTCCTTCAATTGTGTCTTCATTATTGCATGTAACTCTGACAACCGATTTACCATATCTTCTGCGTATTATTATAAGCAAACTCTGCCAATGGCAGAAGGGTTGTCCAATCATCTTGTTGGTAGTTGATAGTACACCTTAAATATTGCTCCAAGACTTGGTTTACGTGCTCTGTTTGTCCATCAGTTTGAGGATGGAAAGCCGAAGATAGCTTTATGTCCACTTTTAAAATCTTGAAAAGGGTCTTCCAAAATCTTGACACAAATTGAGTTCTCCTATCCGATATGATATCTTTAGGTAATCCATGATAGCGATAGATATTATCAATGAAAAGCTTAGCTGTTTCTTCACCTGTGATAGATTTTGTATATGGCACAAAATGTGCCATCTTGGTGAAACGATCTACTATCACAAATATAGAATCATAATATCTTGAGCTTGGAAGATCTGTAATGAAATCCATAGAAACAGAAGACCATGGTTGTTCTAGTATAGGTAATGGCTGAAGAAGTCCGTAAGGTCGATGACGAGGAATTTTTGATCTTGAACAAATATCACATGATTGTACAAAGTCTTTGACTGACTTCCACATTTGTGGCCACCAAAAATCTCTTGATATGAGTTCCAAAGTCTTATTATATCCAAAGTGCCCTGCTGTTGGAAAGTCATGACGTGCTTGAAGAACACGTAAACGTGCTTCTCCTTTTGGAACATATAGGCGTCCTTCAAAATATAATAGATTATTCTTGAACTCAAACTTAGAAGGATCATGAGACTTGGAAGAATTATTCTCGATATCATAAACAAGAGGGTCTGAGGACATATTGGACTGGATTTGCTTGAGAAAAGTTGAATCAACAGTCAATGTTGATTTCATTGCTCGGAGATGAAATTGCTCTGGTTTCAAGAGGACCGTTCTTTATTGCTCAAAAGCTGCATCTCCTTCTTTTGGTGCAAGATAAGAATGTCTAGATAGGGCATCGGATAAACCTTGTTGTTTTCCTGGCCGATAAGTGATAATGAACTCGAATCTTGACAAAGACATACTCCAACGAGCTTGACGACGATTCAACACGCGTGCTGACATGAAATACTCGAGGTTCTTGTGATCTGTATACACAGTGACTGGACTAGAAGCGCCTTCTAGATAATGACGCCATTCTTGAAAGGAATCCACGATCGCAAGAAGTTCTTTATCGTGGATCTCATAATTGATCTCGACTGCTGAGAATTTTCTTGAATGAAAAGCTATCGGATGAAGTTTGTCATCTGTTCCCATTTGTGATAAAACTGCACCCAAGGCAAAATCTGATGCATCTGTTTCCATAAAAAATGCCTTGGAAAAGTCAACACGATATAAGACTGGTGCAGAGACAAACGATGTCTTCAAGGCTTCAAATGCTGCTTCCGCTTCTTGATTCCATTGAAATTTATCTTTACTAGTCAAGCGTGTAAGTGGAGCTGCAACTCGTGAGAAATCTTTGATGAAGATCCGATAGTAATTGGCAAATCCCAAGAAACATTGGACATCTCTTACCGTCCTTGGAATCTTCCAATCCACGATTGTTTGGACTTTCTTAGAATCCATCATGAGACCATCATTTGAAATGATGTATCCTAAAAAGTCAACTTGAGTAGTGTGAAATACACACTTTTCCATCTTGGCGTACAATCCTGCATCTCTAAGTTTTTGTAATACTTGACGAACATGTATTTCATGTTCTTCAACGTTCTTAGAATAGATCAGGATATCGTCTAGATAGCAGACGACAAAATTGTCTAAGAATTCACGAAATACATCATTCATGAGATGTTGAAAAGCAGCTGGTGCATTCGTGAGTCCAAAGGGCATGACATTACATTCGAAATGTCCATACCTGGTTCGAAACGCAGTCTTCCATTCATCTCCTTCTTTGATCCGTACTAGATTATATGCTCCTCTTAGATCTATTTTTGTATAGATCTTAGCTTGATTCAACTGGTCAAGGAGTCCTGATATCAAAGGTAATGGATACCTGTTCTTGATTGTGATTTTGTTGAGTCCTCGATAATCAACACACATTCGTAAAGATCCATCTTTTTTCTTTACGAATAGAATTGGAGCTCCTGCTGGAGATTTTGAATGGCGTATGAAATTCTTCGCTAAATTCTCGTCAATATATGTCTTGAGTTCAGCCATCTCATCTTGCGATAAACTGTAAATTGGTCCAAATGGTGGCTGAGTTCCTTCCTTGAGGTCGATTGAACATTCATATGGACGATGCTCAGGAAGAATATCTGCATTTTTTTTCTCAAAAACGTCTTGATACTCCTAATATTGACTTGGAATGCCACTTGAAGTCTTTACGTTTTCAGAAATAGGTGCAGCATAAATAGCAAAAGTTGATCCTTCTTTTGCTGCGTGTATAAATGCTTTTGCACCTATCAGTACGGGTTTTACTGTACTAGACTTATAATTTTTTACTTGGTTCGTAGAACTATTAATAACGCTTTTGGAAAAGTCAAGTTTACGCGAATTCCAATCTATTCGAGGGTTATATTTTTCTAGCCAGGATAAACCTAAAATAACTGGATTGGACGGGGATTTAATTATGTTAAAAGCTATGTAGCTATCATGATCGTCTATTGTTACTTTTATAGGATGAGTTTCATGAGTGACATCTCCAGAAGACAAGGGACGACCATCTATGACTTCTACATGTACTGGTTTAGGTTTCTGTACAAAGGGTATTTTACGACTTTTAACAAATTATTCATCTAAAAAACATGCTGAGGCTCCCGAATCTAATCAAGCAGAGGCTTTGTAATTCTTAGGTCCTAAATATAAGTCTATTATAAAACAAGGAGAGGGTTCTGAGGAGAGGATAGGACCTTCATTAGGAATTGTACAAGGTTCCAGCTGCACGGTCCCTATTGTAGCTGGACGAATCCGTTTTCCGACATGTTGTCTTCTTTGACCGTCGTACCCCTCATTTTATAGTTGCGTCGTTTCTTTGGACAATGTTGAGCAGTGTGCTTAGGTTCTCCGCAATATAAACATAATCCTTCTTGACGACGACGAATCTTTTCTTGCTCAGTTAGAGGTTTAAAACGTACCGCGTCAATTTGCATGTCTTCTACTTCCGAATGTACGTTTGGTAAAGATGTTGATGTTGCCATTGAGTAATAACGTTGAGGTTCCCGTGAATGATTCTCAGATCGAAATTCAAAAAGTCGATTATCACATTTTACCGCAAAATCGATTGCTTGACTCAAAGTTTGAGGATCAGGTAAGTTGAGCATCAATTTCTTTACTTCGTATTGCAATCCATAAAGAAATTGACTGATGAGTGCAGCATCATCCCACTTGATGTCAATTGCAAGTTGTCGAAATTGTGAAGCATATACTGTTACTGAGCGATTTCCTTGTCGCAAAATTCGGATCTTATTTGTTGCAACACGAGTTGCATCGTGTTCACCATACATAGATCGAAACTCCACCAAAAAAGCTTCCAAATTGTCCAATATTGAATTTCGTTGTTCAAGAAAAGACGAAAACCACGATAATGCAGAACCAGAAAGTAGAGTGCCAATAAACCTGACTTGTGATCCTGGAGTTGGATAGCTTTGCGGTTGAAGTTCAATTGCCAATTGTACTTGATTGATGAACCCTCGAAACTTTGATCTCGTACCATCAAATTTCTCAGGTAAGGCAATTCTTGGTTCTCTAGTGCTTATAGGGTGTTGTACAATTAGAGAAAGAATGTGATTTGTTGTAGATGTTGAAGCAGCTCCGATCATCTCTATATCTCCACTTTCTGCTATTCTTGTTCTTTCCTGTGTAGGTGAATTGAGTTGATGCATCGCAAGCATTAACTCCCTCATTTGCTCTTGCATTTGTGCCATTGCACTCTTCATTTCAACAAGCTCTGCCATAATGACACTAAGAAGAAAAATTTGTTTGATATTGCTCAAGACAAAAGAAAAGAAAGACTTGATAACAAAGAAGATACTAAGAACAATATCAGTTTAGAAGTGGGTAATCCGCAAACTTCTAATACGCTTATGTCTTGTCAAGAGAAAGGGGTAATCCACTCTTACTCAAGAAAAAACAAAGCTCTGATATTGTAAGTGCACTCTTGTCAATCTGTCAAGGACAAAGACTCGATGAGGGAAAATATACACCAAAAGGCTATCTCGATATAATAAGTCAAAATATAAACAAGTAGGTATATTAAAAGGAAACTGGAATGGCTATTGCCACAAGACAAGAAACTAAAGACTCTTGAACCTGGACTAGAAGCAAGAAAGGAGTTGACAAGAGTGAAGAAGCCTTCACTCTTGTCTCTATATATACTATCTAACTAGGGGCTACGTGGCGACGTTCTATAGGACCTCCAATATGTGTTGACTTTGTAGGACACATGCCTTGACTTACAAGGCAAGTTTTTCTACGTGTGGGCCACATAGTTAGCTTGATCTTCAAGCTAACAACATGTGTGGCACATGGCCAACTTGTTGACCACGTTTCTAATCCAAAAAGTCAATTAAAGACACCTATGAAGTCAAAGCAGCGTCTAAGAAGTTTCTAGGAAGCTTCTATATTAAATATTATAGAATTAACTTACTTTTATCTACTTTTACTTACTTCTACCTATTTCTATATGTAATTATTAGCTTACATGATTATGGCCGTGACAAACATGCAGAGTTTGAAACAAACTCTTAACTTTTCCATCCACCTGATTCAGGTGTAAATATTTATAGGAATTTATATGACAATGTCATGTAAAAACCTCATGATAAACAATGTTTTTAACCGTTCCCACGGCTTCATTGTTGTCATTGGCAACCTTAATGTTTGCAGGATGTCTACCACGAGACAATGCCACATATAATTAACCATGGCTAAATACTTCATTGCGAAGATAAATGCCAACTCGATCATATGATTGGCCCTGCGATTTGTTGATTGTCATAGCAAAAGCACCAATGACAGGAAATTGTCTCCGGCAAAGTGTGAATGGCAAGCGGCTATCGTTGCAATGATGTGTGATTCTAGGAATCAATACCTCTTGGCTACGATAGCGTCCTTCTACAATTTTACATAACAACACACTGGAAGACACTTGCAAAAGACGCAAACGACTACCATTGCACAAACCTTTTGCCGGATTCAAGTTCCTTAGCAACATCAAATATTGGCCACATTTAAGACTTAATTGGTGAGGAGGCAAACCTCTCAATTGTAAAGAATTCAAAAACTCTACTAGGTAATGATGGGCATGTTCATCATTCTCGTGAACAAAATCAGCACTAAAACATTGATGCACATCACCAGGTATACGATCGGTGATTTTTCGGTTGATTTCTTGGGCATCATCATTCCGGACAGCCAAAATGACGCGCTCAGAAAAATCAACCGGATCATCAAAAATAGCATCAATGAGACCATCTAAAGAATTTCTAGGAGCAACTAATCCTAGCGGTAAATCTACCTTTGGACAGGTTTTGCCCTCACCAATATCTAACAAAAATCGTTGAAAGTCCGGTTGACTTTGCAAACGCATGTTAGTGGTCAAATGAAAATATTGCATTAGTGGAAATAGGTATGAATGTCGCAAGCAAGCTTGAACAGTTTGCTTGCGACCTCCACGTACAACTACAGGCAAAGTTTGGCGAAAATCACCGCCATATAATACTACAACACCACCATTTGGACTATCTATATTGCATATATCTCGCAATGATCTGTCTATAGCTTCAAACATAAAACGATGCCCAGTACAAGCTTCATCAAGTACAATCAATTGTACTTCACGTAAGCTTTGATCTAATGTAGACTGGGTACTAATGTTACAAATTGATGCATTGTGCAACTGTAAAGGAATAGCAAGAGCTGAATGTGCCGTTCGCCCTTCATTCAAAAGGCATGCGGCAATTCCACTTGTTGCCATTGCCATACACTTGACATTACGACCACGAAGATAACCCAATATGGTGTTATACAAAAAGGTCTTACCTGTACCACCAGGACCATCTAAAAAGAAAAGCCGATCTGGAGAATTAGAATTTAAAACGGCAGTGGTCACCGCATTAAAAACAATGTATTGTTCTTCGTTGAGCCTACCTACATCCTCCTCTAGAAAAGTAATGTTTTGGTTATCAAAATCAATATTGTCATCGGAATCACCGCCAACATCAATAATGTTTGAATAACCAAACTCATTCAATTCTTCGATATTAAAAAAATCTGTAAGATGTTTGTCTGATGATGACAAATATTCTTCAATGGACAAAATTACTTTGCAATAGCGATTTTGATCATTGCGCCAATCATCAGACATAGCATCAAGATGTGTCTTTAGTAAGCTAAGAGGATCTAGCGGTTGTCCAAACACAAGAAGTGTTGCAAACAACCGCCGAACTTGTTTAGGCAACGCAATGACAGTTGCCTCTTGCAGACAATTTTCCCATTCAGAATCATCTTGTAAAAGTCCTCTTGCAATACAAGCGGCCTTGTACGTTGGATGCACTATATCATGAAAACAAAGTAGGTCTTCAAATGAAGTTGGTGCCTCGACATGAGTCAACAACAAACGCAAGTAAAATACTTTGTTACCTATGGGAACCATGTTTATCCGACCAAAAACTTTTATCTTACGTACTCTTCTTTCCCACATGTTATTCTTCACATCCCACTTGTAATAGAGTGGAAGATCCATGTAACGAAGAAGTATATGGTTGCCTTGATTGCCAGAAGCAATTAAGGCACGAATATGGCAATTAAGCTCAAAAAACTTAGTGAGTTTAGTCTCAGCATTTTGATCAATCACCGAGTGCAAAGATGTTCCTTCCTTAAAAGTAACATATTGCTGACCGGGAAGGTGAACAGGCAAACGACAAATACTATGGCTCTTATTATTAGTTTCAAAACCAAAGAGCCTCCAACATGCTTCTTGGGCGGCCACATAACGACCCTCCAAGAAATCCTTAATCTCATCTACCACTTCATCTGTTTCTACAACACCACGATCTAGACCTTTAAAAATATACTTGTGGAGGTATTTGACAGTTTTTAAAGAACTACAAATTTCCACATTAATGTGACAATTAAACCGACCTATCAAATATGGATTGTATGGCACAACCCATTAATTGTCTAAACGGACAATTTGTCCACGTACACGTTTCTTGATATATCGACCTTGATTTCGACGACGGTACAAAACATGTCCGTCACCATCCACCTCGGTAGTATCTTGAGCTTGCATCGGATATTTCTTTGTACATCTATCGTCTTTCATGCATGGACAATTGGGATTGTCAAAACCACATGGTCCATGCATCATGTGCTTGGCAACCGCGGCATACAATTGCGGTTGTCTATCTAAATCGGGAATCTCCGCACATACTATCCTATCTACAAGGTCACAGTCATTGACCTTGTCTTTCAACCAAAGAAGAATGTGTGCATGAGGAAGACCACGTTTTTGAAACTCAATAGTGTAACAAAAAGCAATTGTCTCTCCCATGACATTCTTCTTCGTAATCTCATCCATCAATGCTCTTAACTTGAGCTCAAAAATACGCACAACAATATCTGGACGATCAGGAGGACTTTGACCTGGCTCAAGCTCATCAAGAATCTCAGGCCAGGTCGGATTATATGTCATTGTCACAAACAAATCAGGTTTTCCTAAAACTCTAACCAAAACCATACTATCATGAAAGAGTTTTTGCATGTATCGGGGGGAACCAATGAATGTTGCAGGTAAGACAATGCGACACCCAATGCGTGCTCCATTGTCTTCCTGCAAAGCATCTACGACCCCCTGATAGCACTCTGTACGAAGTTCAGTTTGATGTTGCCTAATCAAAAGCAAATTTTCATGTTCTACATGTAAATACTGATCCATTACATATTGTTGGAATAATCTACCAGCCTTATGTAATACATTAGATTTTGGGCACTTTTGAAGCAAATATTGGACATATGACTTTAAAGTCACTACAGTATCTGCTTTAAAAGTTGGTGACTACCGACATCGCCCATCAGGAAACAACAAAGGATAGGATAAAGCATCGTAAGCTGGATGAATTTCTTTTATTCGTATTAAATCTCCACCACGTTGGTGAAGAATAATATCTCTACCAAAATTCATGTATTGTTCGTCAAGAACAACAGCAGCAACTTCTGGAACTACTTGGCGATTATATCGACGGGGATGTTCACCAAAAGGAACCTCACCGGAGATACGAAGTCCCATGTTTTGTCCCCTTTGAAGAACATCACGCGAAGACTTAAAACCACGAACCAACGCATTTATGGATTCTAAAACTTCTTGAATGTTGTTAACAATATCACGATGAAGATCATCAAAAATCTCCATACGATGATTTGTTTGTAAACCATCATCCAAGAAATAAATTTGTGCAAATCTAGCACCTTCGTCTAAATCGGGTTGTAAATTTCCAATGTGATGGCATAACTCTCCGTTCACATGAAAAGTATATACCCCTCTATCTTCAACTTGGCCAGACTGAAACTTACTACTCATACTTGTAAATACAAAAGCTTGATTATACTTTCGAATGGATTTAAGGAACACTTGAGATTTAGGTGTTGTGCCCATATAAAGTTCATTGAGCATTGGATGGACAATGGGGTGATTAACATGTTCATTGGCAATTTTGCCATTGTAACAACAAATGGTATTTTTTTCTTTTTTAAAACGAAAAGCCAAACATTTTGGACATTGGATGCACATTGATCCAACACTATCAACATTGACATCTACAAAATTATCAATGGTAGACAAAGCACGAGCCATTCTCTAGAAAGATGACAATATAATAAAAAAAGTGGAATTTAGGATAGGAGAATGAAGACCCTATCATAAATTCTAAACTCCACAAAGATAAAAAGATATATCAATAAATAGGATTTAGTGTAGGATAGAAGAAATCCTACCCTAAATCCTAAACTCCACAAAGATTAAAAAAATTGATAAGAAAAAGCAGAGTTTAATGTAGGAGAACAAAAATCCTAACGTGAATCCCAAACCATTTCAAAACTCACAAAAGTAAGGTTTTTGATAGTACCTTTGTAAGCTTGTGCTCCAAGAAAGTTGCACCTTTTGATGAAATTTCACTCCACTCTAAAAAGTTTACGTTCAATGCACTACACTTCAAAGAAAAAAATAGATTAGGTTGGCGCTTGCTTTGCAACACATTCGTAGCCAAGAGGTATTGATCTAACACACAAAAAACATGCATGAAAACAAATGTGATGAACATATTCTCAAGCCATACTCTACCTCCAAAATTTAGACTCTAAATTTTTTTTTTTTGAAGACACTTAAAAATGTCGATTTTTGAAAACTTTTGTCACAAATCAATTTCTTTCCCACTAGATAAAAATGCACCTAAAAAGTCCAAATCCGAAGTCGGAATTCAAAAATAATTAGTATTTTGGGAGATATTAACTCACTGTTAAATGAATTCTGTCCAAAATACAGTTTCATCTATAGTGGATGAAAAATCGTACAATGGATGAAAACCATGCAGCAGATGAAAAAATGTAGCAGATGAAAAATTGCAGCGGATGAAAAATCATAGCGGATGAAAAATTGTTGGGTAAAAAAAAAAAAAAAGTTAAAAAAAGTAAAAGTAAAAGTTTCGGCGATGTGCACATCACAGAACAGCAGCTGCTCGTTTTTGAGTCCTTGAGTTTTTTGTTTGGTTTTTTGCAACTAAAACCACTAAATTTCAACTTGATTTGAAAGTTTAATATTTGAAAACTTGATTTTATGATTACCCAAAATCAAAAATTACCAAAAATTTCAATCTTTCAAAACCTTTCAATCTTTCACAATCTTGCAAAAATTGCAATCTCACCTCAAATTTCTTGAACAATCTCCACAACTTGAACTTTGTAACTCCAACTCCAACTTCAACTTTGTATTCAAACCTCCAAGATCACATCAACCAACTCCAACTCCAACTTTGTATTCAAACCTCCAAGATCACATCAACCAACTCCAACTCTAACTTCACAACTTACAACTTCCAACTTACAACTTCTAACTTACAACTTCCAACTTACAACTCACAATTTACAACTCAATCTTGAAGTGCACAATCCAAAAAATGTTTTGAACATCAAATTTGTAATCAAGAGCTTCAAAATTGTAATCAAGAGTTTCAAATTTGTTTTGGGTAAGCTCAAATTGTAACACACACTTTGGATTGCACACACCCACAAACTCAACGTTCAAATTTCAAAACTGCACAATAATAAACGGAGCAGTCAACCGCGCAGTCAATAAAAGTAAAAGTAAAAGTAAAAGTCATAGCCACAATAAAAGTAAAAGTCACAGTAAATATAAAAGTAAAAGTCATAATAAAGGTAAAAGTAAAAAGTCACAATAAAAAGAAAAAGAAAAGGAAAAGTATAGTTGACTTTTGATAGGGCTTATGATTTTAGTAGTATGATTATTTTAAATATAAAAAAGAAAAAAAAGATATATATACATCAATAAATATATAAATATATCTTATACATATTAAAATGATATTTTTTTCTATATTTTCTATATTTTATTATTTAATTTATTTTATTTTAATCCAAAGTGATAATATTTATCTTAAATGTTAAAATTTTATTTTATTTTATAAAAAAATTATTTAATTATTATGTATGATTTTTTATATATATATATATATATATATATATATAGAGAGAGAGAGAGAGAGAGAGAGAGAGAGAGAGAGAATCTTTAAAACCCTTGTTAAGTCAAAAAAACTTTGAAGATAATGAAGTTTGAAAACATTCACAATTGTTTGTATTTCAATATTATTGTAGAAAATAGAAGTGTACAAGATTAACATGTATAATTATTTTTTTGTAATTCTGCTTATTTACATTATTTTTTAAGATAAACAACATCAAGTTAGTAGTTCAATTATATAGAAAGTATATAATTAAATCTAAAATACAACTTATGTTAATATATATAATGGATATTATAAAATCTATAAAACATTGATTCATACAAATTTAAAACTATTCAAGTCCTAACAACTTTGCTTGAAAATAAATAGTTTAGACACCAAAAAAGTTACATAGAAGTGCAAAGTCAATATTAATCATCTTCTTAAGACTTCAAATTATAGATATTGAAAGTATGTTAAGGATATGAATCTCTAAAAACTAAAAGATCAATACACTCTTCTATCATTTATAAAGATTAAAAAATCACTCAAAGATGGTATGATATTAAACTTAAATAGCTATTACCAAAGAAAAGAAGACTATAAAATCTTGAAACAAAACTAAAGACTACAAAGGCATTAACAAGTGTAAAACAGGCTTCAATTTTAGCTCTATATATACTATGAAATGAATTAGACTATCTCTAAGATCTAAGACCCTTTAAATCTATAGCAATATAAATCTTATCACAATTTAGGTCAATATAGATCAAAATAGAACTAAACAGAACTAAACAGAATAGAACATGAAAAACATAATAGAGTTAATGTCACAGACATACTCATATAAGCTAGTAATTACATATACAAATAGGTGTAAGTAAGTAAAAGTAGATAAAAGTAAGTTAATTCTATAGTATTTAATATGGAAGCTTTCTAGAAGCTTCATAGATGCTGCTTTGACTTCATAGGTATCTTTAATTGACTTTTTGGATTAGAAACGTGGTCAACAAGTTGGCCATGTGCCACACATGTTGTTAGCTTGAAGATCAAGCTAACTATGTAGCCCACACATAGAAAAACTTGCCTTATAAGTCAAGGCATGTGTCCTACAAAGTCATCACATATTGGAGGTCCTATAGAACGTCACCACATAGTTCCTAGTTAGATAGTATATATAGAGACAAGAGTAAAGCTTTCTTCACTCTTGTCAACTCCTTTCTTGCTTCTAGTCTAGTTTCAAAGATCTCTAGTTTTCTTGTCTTTTGGCAATAGCCATTCCAGTTTTTCTTTCAATATACATACTTGTTTATTTATATTTTATTATCTTTCATCGAGTGAAGGCTCACTTGACTGAATTTCTTTTTCATCGAGTTCTTGTCCTTGACAGATTGACAACAGTATACCTACAATATCAGAGCTTTATCTAATCTTGATTAAGAGTGGGTTACCCCTTTTTCTTGATAAGATATAAGCACATTAGAAGTTACGGATTACCCTCTTTTATATTGATATTGTCCTTAGTATTTTCTTTGTTCTCAAGTCTTCTCTTTTATTTATCTTGAGCGATATTAGGCATCCTCTCTTTTCTAAGTGTTATCATGGCAGAATTTGTTGAAATGAAGAGTGCAATGGCACAAATGTAAGAGTAATTAAGAGAGTTAATGCTTGCGATGCATCAACTCAATTTACCACCACAAGGAGCAACAAGATTAGTAGGAAGTGAAGATATAGAAATGATTGGAGCTACTTCAACATCTGCACCAAATCATCTCCTTTCTCCTATGGTGGAACGTCCTTCCAATGTTAGAGAACCAAGAATTATCCTACCCAAGAAGTTTGATGGCACGAGATCCAAGTTTTGAGGATTTATCAATTAAGTGAAACTTGTGATTAAACTTCAACCCCAAAGCTATCCAACTCCAGGATCGCAAATTAGATTCATTGGTATGCTTCTTTCAAGTTCAGTATTATTGTAGTTTTCATCTTTTTTTGAATGACGAGATCCAATATTGGATAATCTAGAGGTTTTTTTGTCAGAGTTTCGATCCATGTATGGAAAACATGATGCAATTTGTGTTGCAACTAATAAGATCTGTATTTTATAGCAAGGCAATTGATCAGTAACGTTATACGCTTTATAATTTCAATAATTTGTAATTGATATCAAGTGGAATGATGTTGCAATTATTCGCCAATTTCTCTACGGATTACAATATGAGGTAAAAAAAATTAATGCTCAACTTACCTGATCCTCAAACATTGAGTCAAGCAATTGACTTTGTTGTGAAGTGTGACAATCATCTTTTTGAATTCCGATCTGAGAACCGACCTCAACGTTACTATAATTCAATGCCAACATCAACACCTCTTCAACACATACATTTGGAAGTAAAGGATATACAAATTGATGCAGTACGTTTCAAACCTCTTACTGAGCAAGAAAAGACTCATCATCGTCAAGAAGGATTATGTTTATATTGTGGAGAACCAAAGCACACTGTTCAACATTGTCCAAAGAAATGACGTAATCACAAAATGAAGAGTATGGCTGTGAAAGAAGACAATATGTCGAAAAACGAGTTTGTCTAGCTATAATAGGGACTGTGCGGCTCGAACCTTGCACAACATCTAGTAAAGGTCCTATTCTCTCCTCAGAGCCCTCTCCTTGTTTTACATTAAATGTTATTTTAGGATCTAAACATTACAAAGCCTCTGCCTTATTAGATTTAGGAGCCTTAGTATGTTTCTTAGATGAAGAACTTACCAAAAGATATAACATATCTTTAGTAAAGAAAACTAAACTTGTTCATGTAAAAGTCATAGATGGTCGTCTATTATCTTC